GGTTGAGAAACACTGTCCTAACCACTGCTGGGGAATTCTGGGAGTTGAAGTCCGGACATCTTCAAGTAGCCAAGGTTGAGAAACACTGATTTATACGGTTCAAATCACCAGTCAATGTATCAGAATACAGTAATGTACAGTAATGAGATTTACTGGATCCATTACAAAATTCAATGCAATATATACCACTGCTCTTTAAATAATCTGGAAAAAAATGTTTAAAAAAATTATACAAATCCTTGTCCTTTTCAAATTGATGTATATTATGGCATACATTAATGCTGAAAATGTATTACTGCCATTACCTATTTGTCAACCAATTAATGTGATAAATAATAATCAGTAGAATAAGTGACAGGTAATCAGCATGTCAGGAAAACTAGTCAATCATTATGGGCATTTATAATATTTCCTTCTGCTATTATTCAATTTTCTCAATTACCCAGCAATAATCTCTCTTTTTCTAAAGCCAGTTTGAACAACCAGTATTTCCCTTCTCTATCTGCACTGAATGATCTCAAGCAAGATACTTAATGTGCTATATTTTCCTAACCTTATAAATTAAATTAAGTTACATTGCTAAGGAATATAAATGAAATACCACACAGAGTAATTAGATGCAATTAAAAAATAATGGTATTTCTGCATAATTACCAGGGAGAAAATTTTGCAGGTATCTACCACCTAAATTTGTCAGTGTTTATATACCCAGATGAGGTTTTTTTTTTTGTTTCCAATCAGTTAAAGAAGCTCTGTTTCAAATGCTATTAGCACTGAAAAACAAATTTAAACATCCTGTTCTGGGATAGAATTGATGTCGTATTATATTTTCAATAAAAGCTATATTCTATTTTATGTATAAAATAGCAGCGTTTAGTGCCATTTTGTACATGCTTTTGTAGGAGTGAACCTTATTGCATTCAGTTTATCAAGTTTAGGCCTAACCTTGGCAATTCTTTCTGTCTCTGGGATGAAGCTCAGATAAGATGGTTCAAGTACACTGCACGTTCATAGCTCAAATACAGAAAATGCCTAACTATTCAAATATTCTATCAGCTTTCGCATTTTATAATTAAAACATATTAGGTTTTATAGAATTATGATTGGATAAGGTTGCATTTATTTTCTTATATATCAAATTTAAGCAATGTTTTATAAAAATGATGAAAAAATGCAGCCAACAGTTGAAGACAACAAATAAGTATTATTTTGAAATAGCAAAAGCTAATGAAATTATGCATATTTCAGAATGAAAACTTAAAAGATCTGATTTTAAGACCTCAGCAAATCAGAGTAAATGTATTAATAAAATAATGTAAAACAATACTCAAACTAACTTATAATATTCAGCAGCAGTTTCAAATTCTCCCAGGAAGATATAGGCATTTCCAAGATTACTGTAGGCTCTTCTTTCTGCAGCTCTATCACCAAATTCTTTTGCAATCAAAAGGCGCTAGAAAAGAATTAGCCTGTTAATTATTGTAACAATGTTCAATGCTATTGCCAGAATAAATCACAAAGTGAATACTAAGATTCGCTCTTTTTCCCTTTCTAAAACGTATTTTTACATATTTCAAATTTTAGAATTTGAATTACGACTACCCTGTTTCCCCAAAAATAAGACCTCCCTGGATAATAAGTCAAATCAGGCTTTTGAGCGCATACGCTAAAATAAGCCCTCCCCCAAATTAAGCCCTCCCTGAACACATTGCAACACAGGAGAAGCCATGAGGTGACCACACTCGACGTACCTCAAAATAATAAGACTTCCCTGAAAATAAGGCCAAGTGCTTATTTCAGGGGTCAAAAGAAAATAGGACCCTGCCTTATTTTCGGGGAAACACGGTATAAAGGAGTCTGCCCATCACGGTTGTAAGTCATGACTGTTGTAAACTAAGTTTGGCATGTAACTGACCTGATTTTAGGATCTTTTTTCACAGCAGTTATTAAGCAATGCTGCACTTGTTAAGGAAACCAGTTGTTTGCCAAAAATTGGAAGTAAATGCTGGCTTTTAGCAAAAGCATCATAAAATGCAGTTAGTTATGCAACACAGATATAAATCAGTCCTGGTTGCCAAGTGCCAAAAATTCTGTCATGTGGCTGCGAGGGGAGGGGACCACCACTGGAACTTCAAATCCGGTTCCTAAGAAGTCCCCCAGTAAATCTATTGCAACTTCAAACAATCACTAAGCAATTAGTTGTAAGTCGAGAACTGTAATATACAGAAAATAAATTTAAAGTGTCTCCAAAAGCAGGCTGGAAGGTAACAACATTCTGTGTTTCATTGTATGCTCTGTGATGCAACATAATGTCATGCTGGCCATATGACCATAGAACCATCTCCAGGCAACGATGGCTCTTTTTTGGCTTAAGAAATGGAGATGAGCACCACCCCTAAAGTCGGTCATGACTAGTGAGGTAAAACCTGCAGGAACACCTTTACCTGTCTTCACAGTTCACAGTAGTATCTGTTTTTCAGCCCAATAATGCACTTTAAAATATCACACGCATAATAACTATATCAGATAATCTCCTGTTTACTATTTTAAAAGGGTACATTTTAGCTTTCTTTTATAAACGTCATAGATATTTCCTTGAATATCCATCTTTCTGTATATATTTCATATGAGAGACCAAGGAAACAATAGTATATGCTTCACTAACTTTATCCAGATGCAGTAAATGTACTTAAAGAAATAATATAAACTACAATGAACCAGAGCACACCAACATGCATTCTCTTATACCTGTTCATGGGCAGTAACAGCACTTCGGAAGTTGCCCAGAAGATAATGTGTATTTCCCAAGTTTCCATAGGCACGTCCTTGGGCAGCTCTATCTCCCAATTCTGTTACAATTGTCAGGTTGTCCCTATTTAATATTCAAAGTTTTAAAAAGCAATTTACTAGGTTTATAATGAAGAAATATACAAGTAACAATTATGAAAAATAATTGTTTTGGTAATTCAAAAGAAAACATTTTATGAAGATTGATTTAATGTTCATTATATATTACTACTTGCCATCCTCTTAATGTGATGTCCTTAAATCACCTGTGATTTCACATGCTATAAATTATAGTAACAATATTGATGGCTGCTATCCAATAGTTCTTATTTTTCCTTCTTAGACATTCATCTTATTTACCGTATTTTTTGGACTATAAGATGCTCCGGACTATAAGACACACCTAGCTTTTGGGGAGGAAAACAAGGAAAAAAACCTGCCTCTGCCTCTCAGCATCCATCCAGTATTCATCTGGCCTGTTTGCCGCCACCGCAGCCCGCTCGCCACAATTGCAACCTCTTTGCCACCATAGCCCATTTTGGAACAGCTGATTGGTGCCCTAACAACCCCTCCCCTGCCACAATATTCGCTGTATAAGACGCACAGACATTTCCATCCACTTTTTTTGGGGGGGGGAGTGCATCTTATACTGTGAAAAATACAGTAAGTTGCTACTTCAGAAGAAATAGAGTTGAAATTTTAAATTATACTCAGTTTTATCTAAATTTTATCTCTTCCCATTTGTATGCATTAAGATCGCAAAATTAAAAGTGGCTTTAAAAGAATTAAAATAACGCATTTTAATGTATTATAAAAAGGACGGTTAAAAACTGTATCCACCTTAAAACATTAATCCACTACTAAAGCTTTTCTTACTGATAATAATCTGCAGCTTTCCTCAAGGCAGTTTTAACGTCATCTGGAAATTCCCCTGGATCATGGGTACCTGCACAGGCAGCGCTTTTACCTTTGGAGTGATACACATTTCCAAGATTATACAAAGCTCTGGCTTCTCCCACCTATAAATACAAATAAAACATTTTCTTAAAGTTTTTAATGCTGTATAGCTACTCGTTTAATTGAACAGAAAAATCTCTTATTTCCTGTGGGAAATCAGGTGGTCATACAATCCACCTTTTGGTATCTTCTGACAAACTAAGTTAATGGGGAAGTCAGATTCTCTTAACAATTACCATGTTTTCCTGAAAATAAGACAGGGTCTTATTTTCTTTTGAGCCTTGAAATAAATGCTTGGTCTTATTTTAGGGGAGGTTTATTATTTTTGAGGTGCAGGAGGCAGCGAGCGTGGTCATCTCATGGCTGCTGCCGTGTTGCAATATTTTCAGGGAGGACTTATTTTCAGGGAAGGGCTTATTTTAGCACATGCACTCAAAAGCCCAATTGGGCTTATTATCCAGGGAGGTCTTATTTTCAGGGGAACAGGGTACGTTTCTAATAACTATGGCAAGAAAAGTCATACAATGGAGCAAGTCACTTAATAATACTCTTGCTTAGAAAAGAAATTTTGGGTTCAATTGGGGTTCTAAGTCAAGGACTGCCTGTAGGAATTTTTACTATTATATACTATCCCCACACTATCCTCTGTTCACATCTTACATATTTATAAGTTTTGTTTTATGTCACAGAACAATATTTTCTCCAAAGCCTGTTGATATTTTTTGATCTCCACAATACTACTGCAGGAAGAAAGTAGCAAGAATATCTTCCGGTTTTTTTCTTTTTTCTTTGGATCAGGGAGACAACAGCTAAGGATACCATTGCAACAAACGAATAACCTTGAAGAACTTTTATCAAAACAGTATTATTCTATTGCTGATATCAGGTTCATCTTAAATTTTAACAGTATTCAAAGAATTCACACTGTTTTTCTTTCAATATTGACTGTAGTGATTTTTCTTACCTTATCACCTAGATCTCTCGAAATATCAAGGTGCCTCTGACAGCAAACAATTGCTTCTTCAAAATTCCCAAGGACCTTTAAGGTATTCCCCAAGTTGCCACTAGCTTTAGCTTCTCCTACTTGATCCCCAATTGTTCTGAAAATTCAACATTTAGTCAGTCCTGCTTTTCTGTTAAAGTCAGCTCAATCTTGAGTAGCAGAAACATTTTTTATTAAATTTGGCAGCAAGTTTAATAAAGTGTCAGCAACTATACGCTCATTATACTTAAACATTTTACCCCCAGTCTTAATTATCTTAACTCATTATAATCGTTATTTATTTTTTCTAGTTCATTTTTTCTCAGACACAAAACTACCAGTATTCCCAACTAATGTATAATCATTCAAAAAAAGATAAAATAATACCATGTGATCCATATTGGGGAAAGAATATATTCCATATACACGAGTGCCAATGAATGTGTTTGGACGTATTTTATGTTTGGCTATACTGTACTTCACAGTTATAAGCATAACATTATACCGTGGATATACTATGTTCCAGATAAAATATATCTAGAGTTTATTTTAGAACTCAGAGGATCAAATACCCAATTATATAGTATAAAATATATATTAAAGGTAACGTAATATTATTCTGAGGGTTTAATTCCTGTATGTCATTTCTTGTGAATACAATGTAATGCCCAAGATAAATTACACATCATTCTCCTGAAGGATAAAACTTTCCTATCTATTATTCTGAGTGGTTCCTCATAACAAATTTCACTTACATGGCTAAGATAATCTGCCCTATCCAACAGCTAAGTCACATGAAATGGGGCAATTTTGGGCAATTTTTAATTGAACAAATTTTTAATCATTATCACAAAAAGTGATAATATCTAGATAAAGTATAAATAACTTTATAGTGGTTGGAAAAAATATGAGGCTGTTATTATGGGAGGAAGGAACCATGAGTATTAAGGTTGGCTTGGAGAAGAAGTTACATAGTCCTAAAATGGAAGGACGTGTAAGAAAGAAATTCAAAATAACCCCACCTTGACTATGTTTAGTGTAAGACAGGAAAAGGCTTTCAAGAGTTTGTCATTCCATTTTACTACAATAAATTTCTGCTGTAATTGTTTCTTGAACTGGCCTATCTTGAAGGGCTGACATAAAAGTACCAAAATCTGCATTTACCTTGCAAGAGTTAAATCATGATGATGATATTCCAAAGCTTTTGCGTATTCATGCAAGTAGAAATAGGCATTGCCCAACTGGCTATAAATAGCACTGAGTGTTTTTAAGTCTTCTGTTCCAACCTGAACTGCAGCTTCAAAGAAAGATACCCCAGCTCGACAATCCCCTGCTTTACATAAACGCTCCCCTTCCAAGGCAAGCTCCAGGCATGATGCTTCCATTCTATAAATATGAAACATAACAAAATTTGTGTTTTAAAATAATCATTATTTCTTCTACTTAATCATTGAAGCAAAATAGAAACATTAATTTATCTCAAATACTTATTGAATTTCAAGTATTTATTGAAGCATTACTTTTGCATCAGAAATTTAAAATGCACTATTAGTCCCAGTTAGAAAAGGAGGAAGGCTATTGGGTATTGGCAGTGGGTAGTAACTAATGAGAGGGCAAGTGTGCTGGTGGAATACTGCAATGCAGTTAACAACAGCAGCACAGGTGGTCCTCAAGTAATGACCAATTGTTCAGCAACCATCCAAAGTTAGTGCTGAATGAATGGTATTTATGACTAGTCCTTGAAATTCTATGCCTCACAGTTACATGATGATGATTTCTTTCGTTCCCTGGAGCTTCTCACAAGCAGGAAATTTTTCTAGGCACTGATCTCCAAATCTACCGGAAAGGGTAGGGAAGCTGGCAGGAAATTGCTCTTGCTCCTGCTTTTTTGCCCACCCACACTCTATAGCCCCTATCCACTGCAGCGTACCCTCCCATGGCACCCGCCCATTCTTCGGAGAACCTTTTAAGAATGGCCCTTTGCACACCCACTGGCATAGCACTCCTGCCTCTTCCCATTTATCAATCTTTGCATTCTTGGGACTACAGTAACAACCAGGACCGCTGGGACTGCTGTCACTCATTAATTAGAGTAGTCGCATGATCTCATTTATGACTGCATTGCTAAGCAATGCAAATTTCAATCCCAATGGCCACTGTAACCAAGAACTACCTGTAATAATGGCATTTAAGGGGCTTTCTTGGTTCCTATTTTCCTGGTCTCCATTCTCCTCTTTGCCTGGCTTGAAACACTATATAGGATTATAAGCAAATTTGAGCAGAATTAAAAATCTGGGAGGAATGGTAGTACTTAAGCAACTTTTAGAGCTAGACTGCACGATCCAGCCAAAAAAGCTGCGCTTCAACCATCTTTCTACTTGTAATAATAAAAATGCCAGCATCTGGCTTACTGTGCGACCAACCATATCTTTTTTTAAAAGAGCAATTATCACATTGTATGATATAGCATGTAATTATCCTGCGCATATTCTGAATAAGATAATCATTGTTTCCTACTATTTTCCTAATGCCCAATAGACTTTTATAGAAATAATCTTTCATATGAACTATTTAATGTGCAAATACCATAACTATGTTAATATTTTTCAATCTTAAACTGCCTTTTATTTTTTTAACCACCATGAGACAGATCAAATAGTGTATAAAGCTACTATTTCTACTTTAGTGTAATACAAAAAAATTGTGAAATTAAAGATGACAAATATACACATACAACTACCACAATCATTTAAAGGAAAAGCTACATTTTGGAAAAGCTATAAGGAAGTCATACATAACTGAGAAATTAGGGCATATATATATATATAAACTTTGTTTCAAATGTAGGAAAAAAATCACTCTGAAGAGAAGGTCTACTTCCTCGTTATTTTAATAGATTTTTTGATAAAATCACAATTAGAGATCACATACAAAATGAAATTACTGAAAGAATACTATACCTCTTAGCTTTTGACATTCCGCAGCCTAAGCACATCGATATGACAGACATTCTTAGCTTGTGCAGGAAAAGTAAAATATTTTGCCCCTGAAGTGTCCCAGTTTGCCTACCTATAACATACCTAGAGCATTTCTCAGGAACAGCCAACAGGTATTTTCTTCCATTTTATTAAAATGATATAACAAAATTGACTACAGCACTGTTATAATTGCAATAACAAAAGATTTACCCTGTAGTAGGGTAATGTTAACTAATCCTCTCCTCTCCTGATAGGTTCTCTCCGGGCGCCTTATGTTAAATGTCACATCCAATTAAAATTAAATATATTCCACCCCATACCTAAAAGATACAATCCTATTAATGATACAATAAATGGTGTAATCCCCTCATACCACTAATTCATTTTTGGCTTACGGGTATGTATATATGTACTGTCTATGTATATGTTTGTGTGTGTATACAAATACAAAAACACAGACACAAATGTTTTTTTTTTAAAGCTGTGCAATACAGTAGCAAAAAATGAAATTGTAATTTTCATTGTATTAATTTGTATTAATATTCCTAATTTTAAGGAGGACTCAGGCAAAGTGCAATAAGTTTGAAACAAAAAATGAAAACTTTTCCAAGCCTGGAAAGTAAGAAAGATCTTTTTTAAAGTTTTGTCTTGATGGGGGGGGGGGGGGGGGGCGGGGGGGGGGGGGGGGGGGGGGG